GGAAGAAATGTCGAGAGTACAAACCCTAAGGAAACAACCCCCTAGAGTCAACCCCACTAAGCCTAACAAATAACTCTAACATATAAATATATGTTTGACACACCCCCATAGGCAAAGTGGGGGAGAACAAGGGGTCACAAGACCAATCAAGCAAAGTAAACAAGCTCAGGGTGGATCACAACGTCACCACACATTCCGAGCACAGGTTCAAGGCCACAAGGCCAGTTCACATGCAGGATCATATATGTGAAGGTAAGCAAACAAGTACAGGTATATATAGATCACAGTACAAGCAAGGTCAAGAGGTGAGCAAGTGAGGCCAGGTAGGCACAAGACCTAACATCGTACAGAAGCGCTGATGATCACAAGGCTGAAGTGCCTTGGTAAAGATATCAGCAGTGTTGGCCCGAGAGGCCACGTAAGCAAGGCGCAGCTGACCACGCTGCTGCAGCTCACGAGCAAGAAAGTAGCGGAGAGCAATGTGCTTCGTTCTGTGCTCCAGTCTGTGCTCCCGACACAAGGCCAGCATGGCCTTGTTGTCTACGTACAGAACTGGAGGAGAACGAGGCTGCTCTCCCAGGTCGGTCAGCAGGTAGGTGAGCCAGCGTAACTCCTGTGCAGCCATGGCCCCTGCGTAGATCTCAGCCTCACAGCTGGAGCCGAGAACAGAAGACGAGCGGGTAGACCGCCACGAAACAGAGCCGGAACCAAGGCTGAAGGTGTAACCCTGTGACGACCGCTGAGTAGTCTGGTCTTCTGCCCAAGACGCGTCCGCGTGACCAGTGAGGACCACTGAACTCCGCCCTCCAAGCACTAGCACGTACTGCACAAGTAGCGCAACACCCTCTTAGCTGCATCCATGTGCTCTGGTCGGTGTCTCCCAGGAGCAACATAGCGCGCCAAGATGCTAAGAGGGTATGCGAGGTCAGGTCGAGTGCAGGTCATCAGGTACATGAGGCAGCCAACAAGCTCTGGGTACGGGCCACTCGGCTCTACGGACTCATCCGAAGGCAGAGCTGAGAGCGAGTGGCGAGTAGGCAGAGGAGTGGCCTGAGGCGAGGAGTACGTGAAGCCGAAGCGCTGAAGGACCTGCTGCACCATATGTGACTGAGTCAGAGTAATGGTGCGGCGTGCTCTGTCCCAGGTGATCTGCAAGCCAAGATAGCTGCGCAGTTCACCCAGGTCAGTGCACGTGTGTCTCTTCTGCAGCTCGGACTTCACGTGGGCGAGTCCAGCAGTGTCAGCAGTGGCAAAGACCAAGTCGTCGACGTACACGAGGATGTAGAACGGCGGCAGCGAGGTGTCGGTGCGCAGAAACAGCGACGGGTCGGCAGTAGAAGGAGCAAACCCAAGAGCCGCAAGTGTAGTCCTCAGTGTGTCGTGCCACTCACGGGGCGCCTGGCGGAGACCGTAGACTGGCCGCCGGAGGCTCCACTGGGTGCCAGGAGGAAAAGACCCAGTGAAGCCAGGAGGGCGGCGCAGCCAGATCTCCTCGTGCAGGCTGCCCTGCAGGAAAGCAGTGCTGAAGTCAAGAGAGTGGAGCTCGTAGTCACGCTGAGCGGCGACGTGCAGCAGCACCCGAAGAGTAGTCATCTTTGGGGTGGGAGAGAAGGTCTGAAAGTAGTCAACTCCCTGCCGCTGACTGAAGCCCCTAGCCACGTAGCGCGCCTTGAAGACAGGCGGAGAACCCGGCGGCCGCTTCACCCTGTAGATCCACATGCCACTGACGATGTTCGCCCCAGGTGGGGGAACCTCGTCAACGTAGGTGCCTGTGGACTTCCAGGAAGCCATCTCTGCGTCCATGGCTGTCTGCCACTGAGAGGAGTAGGGACCCTCGATCGCCTCAGCGTACGATCGAGGAGTCTGGATGTCTGGTGCATCCGGGTCTCCCTCAGGGGCAATCAGCATGGACACGAGATGAGGCAAAGCAGCAGCAAAACACTGGAACTCCTCCTGCCTGTCCTCAAGGACGTCCGTGCCAAGGGCACACTCACCCCCGACGGACGGAGGACAGACAGACTCAGACTCAGCAACGAGACTAGCAGCGTAGTCTAGACGACAACGAGCAGCGAAGTCGACAAGCTCAGCAACTAGGGCAGACGCAGCAGTGGACTCAAACGAAGGGTCAGTGACAACAGTGGCTAGGAGACGCGTGACAGTAGGGCTGGCAGCACGAAGAGAGTCAGACTCTGGGTCAGCAAGGGCAGGAAGCGAGGACGCAGGAGGAGACGGCAGAGGGACACGCTGTGGAGCAGTGGAAGGACGCAGTGCCATCTGGTGCGTGCCTGGGACCGCAGGAGGACGCTGACGCGGAACACGGCGACCGGTGCGAACAGCACGAACAGGCGACGTAGGACGCGACGCAGGCTCACGACGCTCAGCAAGACCTCCAGTAGGACCAGCGTAGGGTGAAGGGGCAGGCAGGGGACCGGCAAGCTGTAACTGTGACTCGGAGGGGACCGGCTGTGGACACTCTAAGGCAGGAGAAGGACCAGAGGAAGGCGGAAGGCCAAGAACCTGCTGAAGGAGGGGAACGAAGTACGGCCGAGGCAGCGCAGCACCTCCAGAAGGAGCAGGGACAGCACCAGCACCCTCAGCTGCAGGTCCAACTCCAGTAGGACCTGCAGCAGCACCAGTAGCGCCAACTCCAGCACCCCCAGGAGCACCGGCTCCAGCAGCACCACCAGCTCCCGAACCTCCAGCAGCACCAGCGCCAGGAAGACCACCAGGTGACCCAGCAGCACCGGCTCCTGTACCTCCAGCAGCACCAACCCCAGCAGCACCACCAGCTCCAGCTCCCGAAGAACCACTAGGCCCAGCAGCTCTAGTACCTCCAGTACGAGCACCTCCGGGTGACTCCAGCACCCTCAGCAGCAGTAGAACCTCTAGTACCCGCAGCGACACCAGCCCCAGCAGCACGACTCCAACGCCGAGCAAACCACTCACGCAGCTCCAGTGGAGAGAGGAGCTCCCTCCTAGGCGAAGCACCCGAAGAACCTCCAGGCTCCGCACCCCCAGGCTCCGCACCCGCAGACTCAGCACCCTCAGGCTCAGCACCCCCAGACTCAGCACCCCCAGTCTCAGCACCCCCAGGCTCAGCACCCCCAGGCTCCGCACACTCAGGCTCAGCACCTCCAGACCCGGCACCCGCAGGCGCAGCACCCCGAGCAGCACCAGAGTCAACAGCTACCTCGACAGGCTCGACTGCGTCTACCTGAGACACACCTGAGGGGGCAGGACCCTGAGGGGGGAGGGGGGCTACCGAGGGGGGACCTGGGGTAAGGAAGAGCGGCGGGGGGGGGAGCGGGGCAGTGCGGTAGGGGAAGAGACGGTAGTACGGAACCGACTCGTCAAACGTGACGTCCTGGGAGGACAGAACACGGCGCGAGGTGGGGTGGTAAAACTGCCAACCAGGCGCGTCAGGGGGGAAGCCAAGGAAGACGCAGGGAACAGCACGGGAGGACAGCTTGTCCGCAGACAAGTCTCGAACGAAAGCCCGAGATCCCCAGACACGGAACGCAGACGCATCGCCAACCTTCCCCGTCCACCGCAGAGTGGGGGAGGTCTCCGGCAAGGAGACACGGGGCTAGAGGAAGGTTGATCTGCTGCGCCGCGTACTGAACCGCAAACGGCCACAGAAAATGGGGAGCAGCCGCATGGATCATGGACGTGCGAGCGACATCCATGACCATGCCAATGCGGCGCTCAGCAATCCCATTCTGCTGTGGAGAGGCCAGAAGCGTGAACGTCTGGCGGATGCCCCTCGCACAGCAGAAGGCTCGCAGAAGGTCGGAGGAAAACTCTCCACCTCTGTCGGAGTGCAGACGCAGAACAGGAAAGTCCGAGCCGAAACTCTTCCTGAGCTGGAGACGAGCAGCGCGGATCCAGTCGATCAACACCTCAGTGACCTCACCCTTGCTGCGCAAGGGGAAGACTGCGGTGTAACGCGAGTAGTCGTCAACCACCAGCAGGAAGTAACGCTCGTGACCCTGTCCACGGACGCGGGCGGGGCCCCACACGTCCATGTGAAGCGTCTGCAGCGGAGCCTCTGTCGGAGGAAACTCGGAGGAGTGAGGAGCGGCGCGCTGCCGCCCCTCAACGCAGGGAACGCAGGTAGGGGCAGGCCCCGGAGGAAGGGGAGGGAGGGACCGGGGGAGACCAGAGACAAGGACACGGGAGGCCATGCCCCGAAGACGGGGCAGGGAGGGGTGGCCCAGGCGGTGGTGCCAGAGAAGAGTCTCGTGAGACAGGAGGCGACACGAGCAGGGGGCAGACTCAGGGCCAGACCGGGACGCCGCAGCAAAGACCTGACCCGACGCAGCTACCTGACCGGACGCAGGAATAGAAGGAGACGCAGTAGTGAGTGTGTACAGACTAGACCCCGGCTGGCGGGTGAACGTGGCCAAGGGACGGCCAGTGTCTGCACACGTGCAGTGAGTCACTCTCTGACGCGCAGGAGTGAACTGGTCAACCCCCCCATCCTGTAGGTCAGCACCACTCACCAAGTTCGTAGAGAACGAGGGAAGGTAAAGACCCGACAGGGAGCTAGAGGGGGCAGCCGGACACGGTAGGACAGTGGAGTAGTGAGCAAGGACAGGACCCCCAGAGGGGTCTGCCAGGGAGACTGCAACAGGCCGACTGAGCGGCGTGAGAGTGGTGCGGTCTCGAAAGAAGGAGCGGGAAGCACCCGAGTCAAGGGTGAAGGTGTGCAAGGCCTCAGCGAGCCGACGCGGTACCTGAGAGAGCAGACTCACCAGCACCTGAGGCAGGAGTCGGACTAGCACCTAAAGCAGCGGCCTCACCAGCACCTGAGGGGGGAGACGCACTAGCACCTAGGGCAGCAGCCTCACCAGCACCTGGGGTAGCAGACACACTAGCACCTAGAGCAGCAGCCTCAATGCCCGGGTCAGGCGGAACACACAGGTAACAGTCACCCTCAGCACTATCAGAGATAGCATACATCGCAGCAAGGATAGCATCAAAGTCAAGATCAAAGATAGCTACTCCAGACCTAAGCAAGTCACCCCAGCGGGGGATCTCAGTGGCGTGAGGGAACTAGATACGCCAGGCGTCGGTCAGGCGGCCAAAGCAGCGCTGGGTGGTGTGCGGGCCGCCACACGGCTCCCCAGTGCGGTCACCAGTACGCAGGACGTAGGCACAGGGACCAGCACCCCCAGGGAGCTGGCGCGCAGCGTACCACTCACGAAGCTGCTGGGACGACGGGGTCTCACGAGAGCGCTGCTGCTGCTGCTGGTGCTGACCACCACCCCGACCAGCTCCACCCCCGCCGCCTCCGCCGCCCCCGCCTCCACCTCCACTGCCGCCTCCGCCTCCTCCACCCGCACCGCCGCCACCGTCGCCTCCACCTCCACTGCCACCACCGCCGCCCCCACGCCCCCCACCACTCCCACCCCCACCTCCCCCGCCGCCCCCACCGCCACCACCACCGCCCCCGCCCGCCCCTCCCGAACCCTTGCCCCCCTTGCCCTTGCTGGTGCGGCGCCTCCCACTAGGAGCAGACGCAGCGGCGACCGACTCAGTGCCAACGAGGTCGACAGCAGCAGCAGAGGCAACAGAGGGCAAAAGGGGAACAGGGGAGCACCCCTCAAAGAAAGGGGTGCGGGGGTCGCCACGAGAAGCACCCACAGCGGTAATACTCGTTTCCGCTACGAGGAGGCGCTCCTCGAGGAGGTCAACGGTGAGGGTGGTGGGGCAAAGGGAGAGGAAGTGGTCCCTGACCGAGCGAAGGGTGTCAGGGAGCCGGGTGACTAGGTAGTAGAGGGTGATGTACATGGGGGGGGGGTTCTTGGCGCAGAACTCAGCAGGAAGCGCAGCGCGGTAGCGGGTATCACTAGTGCGAAGGTGCGTAATGAGGTCAGCGACTGTGGCAAAGGCAGCGAGGTCAGGGAACAGGTACGGCAGCATGAGGCGGCTAAGCGCAGCAGTGGCAGGGGAAGAGTAGCGGGCAACTACAGCGTCGTACAAGGTCTTAGCAGTCTTGAACTGGCTAAAGTGCGCGCGCTCAGTGATCGGCAGGTGGCTACGCACAGCATGACGGGCAGCAGCATCGCGTGTGGTCCACTGTGAGCGAACAGTACTGTCGTCATCAGCAGCAGGGGCAGTAGAGGCACCAGACGTGAGATCGAACAGGGAGATGTCGTGCTTGCTATCGCACTGCAGGAAAAGCTGCAGGTCATCTATCCAGACATCAAAATCGATCGCCCGACCTCAGCATCAAAGGTAAGCACGTTGGGAGTAGTCATGACAGCAGCAGCAGTAGGCTAGCGACAGCAGGAGGCTAGCGACAGCAGTAGGCTAGCGACAGCAGTAGGCTAGCGACAGCAGCAGTAGGCTAGCGACAGCAGTGCGGTGCGGCTCGGTGAGTGCTTACCAGGGGTGGGCCGGGGTGCAGCGAGGCGGCAGAGGAGGGCCGCAACTCAGCTCAGGGACAGTAGCGGCGGCCGCACCTGCAGTAGTAGCTGCTGCTGGGGCAGGTCCGGAGGTGACAGCTGCGGCAGGTCCGGCGGCTGCAGCTGCAGCAGATCCGATGGCGGCAGCTGCGGCAGGTCCGGCGGCGGCAGCTGCTGCAGGCCTGGCGGGAGCAGCTGCTACAGGTCCTGCAGCGGCAGCTGCTGCAGGTTCAGGAGCAGCAGCTACTGCAGGTTCAGGAGCAGCAGCTGCTGCAGGTTCAGGAGCGGCAGCTGCTGCAGGTTCAGGAGCGGCAGCTGCTGCAGGTTCAGGAGCGGCAGCTGCTGCAGGTTCAGGAGCAGCAGCTGCTGCAGGTACGGTGGCAGCAGCAGCTGCAGAATCGGCAGCGGCAGCTGCTGCAGTGTCGGCTGCGGTAGGTGCAGCAGGTTCAGCAGTGGCGGCAGCTGCAGGCACGGCGGCGGCGGCTGCTGCAGGGACAGCGACGGCTGCAGCTGCAGGGACAGCGGCGGCCACAGCAGCCGCGGCTTCCACTGCAGGGACGGCAGCAGCTGCAGCTGCAGAAGCTGTGGTGGCCGCTGCTGGTGGGAAAGCGGCGACGTCGGGCCGGGAAGGGCGGCGCGAGGGGCCGCAGAGGTTCGGTGACGCGCCGTGAGAGAGCAGCACGAGGGGCCGCGGAGGGCAGGGGAGGGCCGTAATGGGCAAAGGGGCCGCACTACGGGCCGTAAATGACGGCGCGAGGGGCCGTAAGGAGCCGCTAAGGGCGGCGCGAGGGGCCTACGTGCGGCGTAAGGGGCCGTAGAGGGCCTAACAGGCGGCGCGAGGGGCCGTAAGGGTGGCGCGAGAGGCCAAAGGGTGGCGCGAGGGGCCGTGAATGCGGTCGCTAAGGGCGACGCTAAGGGGCCGTGAGGGGCCGTGGGAGGGCGCGACGGTAGGGGGCACACACGAGGCGCGACTCGGGCACGCGCGCTTCCCTAAACTAAAAAAAAACGAGTTAATATGTGGGCCCAAGGAAGTTTCCTAGCTCTATACCATGTGAAACGTCGAGTGAAAAAATTGACTAAGGAAGAAATGTCGAGAGTACAAACCCTAAGGAAACAACCCCCTAGAGTCAACCCCACTAAGCCTAACAAATAACTCTAACATATAAATATATGTTTGACAGACAACACGAGAGAGAACAGGACGGTACATGCGGTAGTAGTCAGTGACAGGAGTAGAGAGGGAAGCAGTGAGGGCCGACTCAGGGGGAGAAGGAAGCACGATGGAGACGAACGAGGCAGAATAGGACAGAACAGGACTGAACAAATGTCAGTGAGAGGGACAAGGGACAAGGGACGAGAACGAGGAGAGCGACGAGAGGGCCAACCGTGCGAAGGAGGAGGAGACAACGGAGGCGGAGAACGAGTGAGAACAGCTGGGGAGGGGTCAGGAGGAGGAAACGTGGGACCGTAGACAGGAGGAGAGGGGGAGGAGGAAGGAGAGCGAGAGGGGAGACCGAGGGTCCGAAGACCAGAGACAGGAGGAGGAGGCGGCTGCTGCTGCTCCTACGACGGCGGCTGCTGCTCCTGCTTCGGCTGCTGCTGCGGCTGCTGCTGCTGCTCCTCCAGCCGCTGCAACTCTCTCTCCTCTCTCTCCAACGCCAGCTGCTCCTCACGGGCAAAGCGAACCAAGCCTGGTGCCGGGTCGGGTAGGGGTGGGGGGGAGGAGTAGTGTCTGGGGCCGCGGAAGCATCAGGACCATCCTTCTGAGCACCAGGCGCACCACCCCCAGAGTCAGCACCACCAACAGCAACACGGTCAGGCTCACCAGTACCCGTAGGGGGCGCACCCGCACCTCCAGACATAGCACCCCCAGGGTCCGCTCGACCAACTCCAGCTCCCGAAAGACTAGAGTCTCCCACAGTCACGGGCTCAGCTCAACCTCCAGCACCCCCAGAACCAGGAACCGGCACAGGTACACTCTCAGCACCAATTCCAACTCCTGTAGAGCTAGCACCTGCAGGGTCCTCTACACGAACACCGGCTCTCGCAGGGTCTGTAGTAGGCTGCGAGGAGGACTGCAGAAAGGAGGCTGCACCTGTGGGGCTACCGAGGGGGGAGGGGTAGCGTGGGACACACCTGACGGGGCTGGACCAGGGGGGGAGGCTGTACCGGGGGAGCAGGAGGGGGAGCGGAAGTCAGGAAGAGAGGGGGGGGAGCAACCGGGAGACCTCGACAGAAGAACCTGACGTAGTAGGGGACGGACTCGTCGAAACGGACGTCACGGGAGTCAAAGAACCGGTGAAGGGGAGGGTGGTAAAAGGTGAAGTCAGAGGAGTCCTCTGGGAAACCAAGGAAGACACAGGGAACGGCGCGAGGCGAGATCTTATCCACGGAGGTGTCGCGAACAAGAGCCAAGCAACCCCAGACACGAAACGACGATGCAACACCAAGGGACCCGGTCTAAAGACTGGTCGGTGAAACCTCTGGCCGAGAGACACGTGGCCAGAGGTTCAGCTGGTGAGCGGCGTACCTAACCGCGTAGGGCCACAGAAAATGGGGGGCACGAGTGTGAGTCAAGGAGGTGCGAGCGATCTCCATGACCAAGCCTATGCGGCGCTCAGCAACCCCATTCTGCTGTGGGGACTCTGGAAGCGTCCAGGACTGACGAATGCCCTGCTCGCGACAGAATCCAGCAAGAATGCCGGAGCGGAACTCTCCCTCGCGGTCGGAGCGAAGACAGCTGACACGACGACCACGAGTGTCTGCAGTGGTAAGCAACCATCTGATCAGCGTAGAAGTCACCTCAGACTTCTTCGCTAGGGGGAACACTGTGGTGTAGCGGGAGTAGTCGTCAACGACCACAAAAAAGAAACGCTCACGCTCAGGGCCAAGGCGAGAGGCGGGGCCCCAGACGTCCAAGTGGAGAGTCTCAAAAGGCTCGGTGGCCGGACAGAATGAGGAGGAGTGAGGGGTGGCGCGCAGCCGACCCTCGACGCAAGGACCGCACGGTGGTGCAAGCGAAGGCGGCAGCGACGGCAAGACACGCGGGAGGCCTAAGACAAGACGCTGACTAGACATAGCGCGCAGACGAGGAATGGACGGGTGCCCCATCCGGTGGTGCCACAGAACGGTGGGGTGGGCAAGCGACCGGCAGGAGCAAGACGCAGCAACTGGACCAGACACGGGAACCTGACCAGACACAGCTACCAGAGGGGACACAACAACCTGGTGAGATGCAGGGACCAGACTGGGGGCAGGGACAGGGGCCGAAGGTAGTAGCCGCTGCTGCTGCTGCTGGTGCTGATACTGCCGCTGCCACTGCTACTGCTGCTGCTATTGCTGCTGCTGCTGGTGGTGATGCCGCTGCTGCTGCTGCTGCTGCTGCTGCTGTTCACCCGGGCCGGTGTGAAGTGTGTAGAGACCGGAGCCCGGCTCAGCAGTAAAGGTGGCAAGAGGCGCGTACGAGTCCCCGTCAACACAAACAGCGGTCTCGCCAGAGGGCTCAATCCACACACCCACGTGCTGAGTTCCTCGAAAACGAGGGGACGTGGAAGCCGGTCAGAGACCCGGAGGGAACAGCTGGGCACGGAAGAGTAGTAGTGTAGCGAGAAGTGACTGGTCGCGAAGTGGGATCAGCCAGTGCTACAGAGACCAGTGCAGGAAGCAGTGTGAGTGTCGTGTGGTCGCGGAAGAAACAGTGCGAAGCTCCAGAGTCCAGAGTGAAAGACAGCGAAGCGTCCTCCGAAGCAGCTCCTGGACTAGTGTCTACACAAGTACCTACACTAGCAACAGGCACCTCAGCAAGACTAGCACCTACGCTAACTACACTCGAGTAAACAGAGTCAGAAGCACTAGAGTCAACAACAGCATACATAGCATGAGGAGTTCCTAAGAGATCAACCAACTGAGAAGCCGACATGCCCCACAGAGCGGGGCCGTACGTCTGAACAAGAGGCAGCCAGTCAGGGGCAGGGTCGTCAACGTCGAAGGCCAAGCGAAGCAAAGCACTAACCAGGAGGTTGGGTGCGGCCATAAGGCTGGCCTCGGCGAGCACCTGTCAGAACCTGATAGGTGCACGGAGGGTGAACAACACCTCGCTGGAGCTGACGCTGTCCTGACCTCGAAACTGGCTGCTAGAGGGGCTGTTGTTGCTGCAGCTGCTGCTGCCGCTGAGTCAGGTACCACGCCGCTGCTCCACCCACTGCGGCCGGCAGACCAGGAGGTGACTGACAAAATCGGGTGTCGCCTCCACCAGCTGCAGCAGGGGAGTCACTGGCCGCTGCACGAGACGCCTCTCCAGGCCCTGCACTCCCGCCGCCACCGGTCGCCACGCCACCCCCACCACCTCTGCCGCCACCGCCGCCTCCACCCGCACCCTGACCGCCCCTCTTGCCACCCCTACCCCGAGACCGCGAAGAAGTCGTAACAGCAGCTGCGGTCACGTCAGTAGCGGCAGTGGCGAGAGAGGCAGTAAAGGTGGGCAGCTGAGGGACAGTGCACCCGTGGAACAGTGGA